GTCGAACTAGGCTATATTCCAGAGACGAAGACCGAGCGATCCGTAGCGGTTTCAGACACGCTGATCACGGCGGGAGAAGAAGACGAACTGCCAGCTCGCAATTGGTTGCTTATAACGAGCGCGCGAAAAGCAGGTAGCTTAATAGCCATATTTACAGCCTCATCCAATTATTGAGTAAACACGAAGAATCCGCGGGTCAATATATCGTTTGAAAAAAAAAAAAAAGAGAGAGAGAACTAGCGCCGCCAGGCCGCTTACGGATAAGTGATGCAGGTGTTGCACGGACTTAGTAGTAAGTAAATTAGCTCGGTAAAGTTCTCGAACGCAACGTGGCTATTTTCATCTGGCTTCCATCTGAGTCTGGCTCTATCGTCGGTGTTGCTTTTTTATTCATCTTCTTTTTTGTCCGCAATGTTAAAATCATGTCGCGCACTTAGATGGGACCGGTTAACAGATTTGTGCTGTACATCACACGTTAATATCATGTGTCTCTTGATATCGTGCGCCGCGAAGTATTCAAAACGCTTAGCAGCGACAAATCTAATGCTTCTATGATAATGTTCATGAAGGTTGCCACATTGTAGGATTTAATTTTCTTTTGAATTACGCCATTTCAAGGGAAACACTTGAGACCCTTCTTTTATCCCAGAAACAAAGGGGTGTGACAATGGAACCGTTCAAACGATTTCTTCCAAACGAATATACGCATCACTCATATGCAACGCTCAATAATAATCTCGTTGCACCGTGCAATAATTGCGCTTTCGCATGCGTAACTCGGTTAATTGATCAATAAGTGAGAATAAAAAGGACCGGCTATAATAACATAAAATAAAGAAAAAAAAAGTATTCGCTACTTTTATCCTATTGCAAAATGAATAATACAAACATTAGAGTTATATAATTTATGAATATAATTATCTCGTATCTATAGTGCGAAATGAGGTAACGTCTGATATAAGGTAGAATACTGCAAGGAATGTTCTTGCCATTATGTTATCGTACTTGCACAATTTGCACAACTTGCACAACTCGCGCATTTATATACGATATAATTTTAATTACCTTCCTGGAGTGCAAATTAATTATCAATGTTGATAAAGTTTACGATACTCTACGTATTGTACGTGGAGGTGATATCAGCTCGCTTCTATTGCGTCTTACAAGATAGATAAGTCGTGTAAAAAAAATGTAAGTATAAATATAAAAATATATATAATATAAATAATATAAAAAATATTAAACTAAGAAATCTCTTAAATACAAAATATGTCTTTATGAATATTTCGAAAAAGTAATCGTACAAATATCACCAGCGTTTTCTCACGATGCTTTTATGCCATCGGTAATGACGATGTAAATGTTACGACAACATTACACTTTGAGTTCCAAAATAGTGAGAAAAGAACTGATTGTGTCGAGTTGTCTTATCGTGCTTTCTTATATGTAACGAGTTAACATACTTAGAAATGTAAAATTCTTGGGTAAAGTTAAACTGCAAAAGCGTAATTAGTCGCTAACTGCGTCAAATGGGTGCACATAGAAATATTTGTTATTTGTTGTAACTATGCTTGCATTAGGACATTTCGTAAGGAACATGCATGAGAAACAATTGCGCATATTCAGCTAATTCAGTTATGAGATCTGAATGCGATTTTATGTTCATATATATAATATTAGATCTGCAATTTGAGGGAAGCGTTTAAATAAATCTTAAAAGATAATAAGAAAAACTTCATGTGTGTGTGTGTGTGTGTGTGTGTGTGTGTGTGTGTGTGTGTGTGTGTGTGTGTGCGCGCGCGCGCGCGCGCGCAACCCTTCTTCTTTCTCCTCGAATAATTCACGAAGGGAAATGCGGAGATTCGAGCTTAGGTAAAAAACAGCGTTGTTTGTCGAAATTACAAAGGACCGTATCCGTCTACGTCCCACGTTAAACGCGCCAACAACGACGGCAGCGACGACGGATCGCATTCTGAGTTTTAGGTGCTCCGCTACATTTGCATAATGATAATGCATTTGCATAATCATTATGATAACTCGAGGGCAATCCTGTACGCGTGCGCGCGTTCGTCATCGTCAGTTGTCTCGTCGTGGCATGTTCAAAGTATCCTAATTTTGTATCCGTGCTCTATACAGGATGATTCTGGTAACTGGATTGGGTTATGTCACTTTTTTAAGCCAAGGCATAAAGAAATGAATGAAGATCTTAACTATTCGCTCTACTATTCTGTGATTGTTATTTTGAATAATGTACATTTATATAAAATGCACTTTTCTAAGAAGAGAGAATCATATATTTTTTTTTTAATATCAATACTACTAAAAAAAATCAAGAATAAAGGATAGCAATTAAATATCTTGATAACCAAATTTCAAATTTAGATTTTCTACCGAAAAAAACTTGAAAAAAGATTAATTAAAAGATTAAATTTTAAGTAAAAATTTTGATTTGATAACTTCAAATCACGAAAACCACAACTTTTCTTTTAATCAACTATGATTGGACACATTAAGGAAAATTTTTATAAAGCGAAAAATGGACAAATTGTCAAATTTGGATAAATTTGTGATCATCTTATGCACCGAGTTGTATGATCTTCGTGCATACAAGTGTCCTATACACTCAGTTTACGCGCACGAATATACACGCTCATAGAAGAGCAGTCAACCTTCTCGATCTACAGTCGAACACGCAGTACACACAGAGACGGAATAAGGCGTAAAAGGTGTGCACGCGTGTATAAGAGCGAAATAGCTGGCAATTTGCGAGGTTTACGAGTTATTTCACAATGGCTGCAAAGTATAGTCCTACAATATTATACTGCCGTGGTAGCTCGAGTACACGGTCAGCGAACGTAGTTGCACGGGGTAGAATGAGCGCGTGTAAGTGCGTGTGAGCGAACGCAAGGGGCGAGATGGGGAGGAGGGTCTCGTATGAGTGCATTGTTGTTCGTGTTGAGTATCACCGTCGGTGGACTACTTTGTGTACGATAGGTGCAATCGTTGTTTTACTGAAACAAGACTCCTCGATCGGATGGTACGCGACGTACTCTGGAGTTATTGGCGTCTCTGCCTCTGCTTACCCTATTTCAAGACAATAACCAACTGACTATAAACCTGTCCGGAGGTCGAGCGCTTTTATTTTCCCGAGTTAGTCGAGTCTAGTTCTAAAAGCATCTTTAAATCTCCTTCGAATCTTGATGGGAAGAGACAATCGCGTCGCATGATTTCGTTTTTGAATGAAAGCGTAAAAGGTATCGCGATTCTTAAAGCTGCGACCAGAGATATGGAACAGACACGGAGTGAGAGCATCAAAAAATTTGTGAAGAAAAAATACGAGAGCGCGGTACACGAACGATTACCGACACCTCGAAAAAAAAGATGCGAAGGAAGAGTAAAACAGACGAAACCACCATCACCCCGAAGAAGAAAGATTAAAGAGCAGCTTGTACGCCCTCGCCGGAATGATGGATGCGATCCCCGAGATGCGGGCGCCGTTCGCCAAGTAGGTGGAGACTTCTATTTCCATTCCCCCCGCGCACGTTGTTTCTCGTTTCCCTACCCGTTCGTCTTTCGCGCACCGTTTATCCGTGTTCGTCCGCTTGTTGTACGCTTTAATCGATGATACACCATTACGCCGATGCTCTGTTAAGCAAAAGAATCACTCTTTTCGCTTAGAACAAAAATCATATTCCTCTCCAAAATAGTTCTTTCAAAGAATCATACAAGTACAGGCGTTGTAAAATTTAAACACATTTGTCACAATCAGTATCATCGTATCACTTTTGTAATCATCAATCGTGTAAGATTAGTTTTAAAAATTGCGATGCGAATCTTCGAAGGCAGGTTTGTCACACGGTGACAAGGACTGTGAAAGGATATTGGCGTTTTGCGAGCTCACGCGCGCGAACAACAATTTAAATGGTAATTCAATACCACACCCTCTTTGCAAAAACCGAAAACCGCGAGTGAACGGGGCGGCCGGACCGACCCGGTCGGATCGCCGCGCCATTTCATACTCCATATGGCAAAAATGCAAGCGGAGTGCATGGCGAGTCACCGCAAAAAGCGTTAACAAGACTGCGATGCGAGTCCAGCTAATTCTATAACTTTGCCCTCATCCCCCTGGCCGGCTCGCGCGCAGCCTCCTTTCTATGTGTCTTATGAATAGCACCGTCCAGGCTCCGAAATGTTCCTTCCTTCCTTCTTTCTTTTCTCGTAGTGTCGAGCCGATCGCCTCTCGTTCTTGCCACGAAATACCGTCAACGAACTCGCCGTTCGGGGACGGTCGGCCGGTAATTATCTCTCGGCTGCGTGTAAAAATAATAATTAGCTTCCATCGTTGCATTAATTAAAGAGCCTCTCTTTCTCCCGGTTCATCATCTCCTCGCTCCGCGCTTTCGCAAGGGGAGAGTTCCGCCGTAATTACACGTCCCTCGCGGCACTAACCAGTGTCCCACAAAGGTGACCGCGCGAGTTGTTCACGCCCACGACACTCGACTTAGGTTCGCGCCATGGCATGGCACGCCGCGCCGTAGTTGTTGCAGTCGATGCTACTCCGGATATCATCATCGGGACTATTCGAGCCACTATTCCATTTATTTTGCAAAATTCATTTGGAGATGTACTTTACAAACCATTCGATTTAGACAGAAATAATCAAGCATATCGATAAGATTTCGAATATGAAGCTAATAATTTTTAGCGTTCCACAAAAAGCATCAAGCGAAAAAGTATAAAGCGTACAAATTTTCCCCTTCTCCGCAATTGTATATGTAATATATAATTCAGAAAAATTGATACGAATAAATGTTATTGTTTTCATAAAACATAAGTTTGATTAAATTGAGAGAGAAAAGAGAGAAAAAAAATTGGAAAAAGACAATCAAAATGGTACGTTAAATGTGTTAGTCGCCCAAAATGCGGCGATAGCGCACGATCATTCCCGACAAGCTGAGGAAGGCGTACGTACGTACTTGCTAGGTATATGCCTGACGCACCTGTCTGAATTGTTCTTCGAAGCTCCAATTAGTTCCAGGTGGATGTTGACTATTTACTGATGCCGCACGAGTTTCACCCTCACGAGCTTCTCCGTTATTCCTGGAATTTCCTTGCGACTCTCCGTTATTCCGGCAGCGAGGTGGCGACGATTCGTTAGACTGCGAGGTGGCAACAGATCTGGTGGAAGTAGTGGAGCAAGCTAATGCTTGATTTTCACCGATTTGATTCCCGAGACTTCCTGCGATTTGTGAATGGTTGTTTTGCGACGGTTGTGATGATAATGATGGCGGTGGTGGCGGCGGTGGTGGCGGCGACGATATGTATAAAGGTGGAAATAAGGTACCGAAGTTACCACTGGTCATTGCAGCCTGTAGAACCTCTAAACTATTTCTACTTTGTAACATATCTGCCTCGGTATGCTATAAAAAAAATCATTAAAGGGAGAATTAATTAAAATCGATATTTATCGATATCAAACGATAAAAATAATTTTTATCGAGTAATTAACTGAGGACTGACGTCAGGACACCTTTTTCATTAATAGGAAAACAGGACAAAGATTTATTTTATCATTTCAAAAAACAATAAATTAACTTTTACTAAAAAATATATTTGCGAGTGTTATGACTTTTTTTTTATCTTTCTTATCGATTAGATTTTTTTTCGATAACTAATTTTATACAACGATCTTTGTGTGTAAGTAAATAAATAAATATCTGAAGAGGGCTCAATCCGGTAACTGAAACTTGTTTTGTATTGTAATGTTTTGTAATGTTTTATATTTGAATTTAAACTGTTTTCTTTATTTTTATTTTTCTTTATTTGTAATTTATCCTATTTAATTGTGTTACAATTTAAAATGTGTTTGACTCTTACTTTGCCCTTTATTTATTGTTATTTATTTTGTATATGAAGAGTCCTTCTATCTGTTAAATGATATTTGCAAGTGTTATGACTCTAATTAATTGTAATTTAGTAAGAAGTGCAATATAAAGCATCAATTATTTTTACTGAAACTTTCCAATTTTGCAAGAGATTCTCTTCATTTTCGCACTGCGGACAAATACTATTGTGCATAAGATCACGATGTGACCTCTTATCAGAATGCCAATCGTAAAGATATTCGCGCTTGCCCAGATCTGTCATCCGGTTTGGATTGTTGCTATTGTCACGGTGACAATTCATTTATGACTGTCAACGTCCATTGTTACGACTATCTCATGATTTTCTACGATTCGTGTCATTCTACCTTGGCACTTTTGTAGGTCAACGAACGCTCGAACCTGCCGAGCAAGTTTTATGACGAATTATGCGACTGCTTATCTTCACGGAAACTCAGCAGGACGAACGACAGGGAACTCTTAACAATAAGACTATTTTTTTAAATCTGCATGTGTTTTCTCTTGTTGGTGCGCGTCAACAGGAGAATACTCAGCAAAACAAGAAATGATAGTTACATACTTAACGAGATGCGAAGCGAGTGATAGATTAAATATGTAGGTAAGAATAAAAAGAATGAAAAGACTTTTCTTACTAACCTCCAATCTAAATTTCGCTAGTAACTGTGGATGATGCGTGTTCATTAAATTGCTCAACTGTGCTAATGAAGATGCACCTGCAGCTGCATCCAAAGCTTGTGGATTGACTTGAAGTGACTGTGAGAGTAAGTCTTCTTCATCTTGTGTTTCATCGTCCATATCTGATTCATCTTCCGACTTCTCTTCCTGATACTGAAATCGTCAAAGAACACAAAAATTATATAATTCATTTTGTTCAAAATAAAATTCTACTTCGTATTAGATATACATATATCCATATATAAGCATAAAGATATGCGCAATGCACAAGCATGTTATTCTTATCACTTGAAAACGATAAGTTATATTATAAAAGCAAATGATAATTTTTTACTATAATTATTGACTATTCTTTACTAATATTTTTATACGTTGGGAACTTTTCCTATTCTCTCTACCTTCCGATTCATATTTGCATCAACTTATATCCGCATGAAAATTTCACATAGTCGATATTAATTATAATTCGTGTTATGTGAATTGAATAAAAAGTAGCGGAATTTATTGGTAACGTAATATCAACCATGCATGCAAGTTTAATCGTGAACAGGAAGGGCAGATAGCGAGGCATTAAACATTAATTAGGAAAATGGCGAATGCGATGAGTTATATTACACCGAGATAGCCGCTATCAAGTAACATTATTATGCTACGGGTGTCATAAGTGTTTTACGGTTGTGCCCATTGCACCGGAGCCGGCATAAAAATGTACAAGTCACATTACTGGGAACGGAAATGGTCATCGTTAAAAAAAAAGAGATGGACACTCCATATTTTTTCCTCGTCTGAAATTAACTCGACCTCTCGATAAATGTCTCGTGCGCGACTCTCAGACACGGCGAGCATCGACTCGCGTATACTCATTTTTTGTGCGCATTAATTTTTGTTTTCTAGATAAAATTAGAAAAATGTGTATATACGTTTTAAATCAGACAAAAAAAAATTTTTAAATCTAATCGTGCATCAATAAAATATATCTATATAATCTCTAGATTATATATAGATATGTTGTATGCACATTATCCAAATTCATAATGTTAAGTTATACCTAATTTGTTATTTTTAATTTATTATTTCTATAAATCATTACTGTTCCTATTTATCTATTAATTAATTTAACTGCAACAATGGAATTAACTAATTTATTACTATTTCTGCTAGTCAATTTAACTCGTGATCATATTACTGCCATAGTTTAGTAGAGTTAACGTTTCAAGAAAAATCATTTACATACGTAGTACATAAATTCACACAGAATCATACAAACATTTAAGATCCAGCTGAACCATTTAAGATATTGATGTCTATAGTTTGTGTTATCACATATACGATCCTATAATAAATATATTATATTGTTAACTAATTTAATTCAAGAAAATCAATTTTAATTCAAAATTAGTTTACTATTTATGGATATTTATTTTGAAACAGGAGAAATGGAATTTATATTTTGGCATACATGAAAATAATGAAATATTAAATTCATGGAATTAGATTTTGCTCCTTTAATATCTAACAATATGTATTTCACATATATATATATATATATATATATGTATTCATCTATCTCATATATTTTATCCATAATAGAACATCACAGAGATGAAAAGAAAAGAAGTGACATTCGAAAGGAGAGAGACTTCACTATTCATTATTTTAGGGAGTGTTCCTTTTATCTAAAAGAAGATGCAAATAGATTCACTGAAGCTTCGAGTATATTCAAATGGCAAAGAAGCGAGCTTTTACCTGGAAAGGGCGGACTTGAGTAAATATATGTTTATCGGGGATGCAAGTGGATTCAACGGTAAATGTACCGATGTCGAGTCCAATCTTAAATGGGACTACGATCGAAGGACAAGGCATCCAATGGGCGAGGAGTGACAAACGGTCTCTCTGTCGGCATTCTGAGCACGTGTGATAATATTGACCCTCTACGGTGGTGGTCAGGAATGAATGAGCGGCAAAAAATAGAATCCTAATCAAATACGAAACAAGTTCGTTTCTGAGATTTCGATCGGTCAACCTGTTATAAAACTTGCTTATATTTTTATTTCGTCTATATCTTCCGAATATATCTATCCCTTATCTATCCAATAATGAATTACATTATATTTCTTATACGTAATTAAAATTACAAATGATAAAGCATTAAACATGCGTGGTGAAAGATGTGCTTTCAAGAAAATTTTACGTTATCGGATATCAATAATACGTAGTATGTGTGTCAATGTTCAAAGGCTCATTCCGATAACAAATCGTGAAAGTCGTTGTGTGTTCCGGAGGCAAGTGTTTATGAGAAAAATATTGTTGAAATCGCCGCGTCGGAAAGAAGGCGCGAAAAAAAATTACGGTGGTTAGTACTGTGGCATCGTTATTCTCACTGTGGCGTGGGGTTACGAATTATATCATTCAAGTGTTTGCGGACGGTACCGTCATTACAATAATCACGGTAGAGCCGCATTCGAGGATGCCATTGTTCTAGTCCGAACCGAGCATTCGCACGTAGGTGTTTGAATCTCGTATGGAAAGTGACGGAGGAAATACGTCGGTTGCATCCGTCGACGCAACGAATATCCTCAAGTGGATAGACATTCAATTATTATTAATCGGATTAGATCTGTTTGAAGAATCATACATAATTTTCCACTTAATAATTATTACTAACTACAATTCAACTTTATCACTAATATTTATTCTATTGAAACTTGGACTTGTGTGAATATTCATTTAATTAGGAATCACACCTTATTTTCTCGATATTTACCTTTGCAAAAAAAATTATGTCGTAACGATCTATTTTTATTCTTGTCACTTCTGATAGCAATTAGAGATGAATTGAATAAATCAATACAGATGATTAATAGAAGTAAGATTGTCGCTTTGAACAAACAATTGATGAGCACAGTTCCATTGCGCTGTCTCTCTCTCTCTCTCTCTCTCTCTCTCTCTCTCTCTCTCTCTCACTCTTCCTCTTTTCATAATCCATGGCGCTGTGGTTTCATAAAGACATTTTAACGAGATTTAATATATCCTAGGCACGACAATAGCTAAATTTATCGAAGGCTAAGTCGCGGCGCGTTACCCTTTGGAGCCACTGCAGATAGCAATGTCCACCGTGATTTATCGCCATACCATCACCATCCGATTGTTTTATTGTTTATACTTTATAGTTTCCACTCTTCGAAAGTGCTTACACTCTTTAACAAAGACTCGTGGGTGCGTGCGGCGGCATGTATGTGCACGCGTTCTCGCATATATACTTGTATCTCGGCGTGGCTTGTAAATCATCGCCTAAATGCTTCAGGCACTATATACGGCTCTAAAATATTCTAATTACTATAAGACTATCGCGTTTAATTGAGGAATATCAGTTATATGAATATCTGTCAATTTTGATTATCAATCATAAAAAAAGTTCGTATAGTTCGTTATTTATATTATTCTTAATTATATAATTTCATTTACTCAAAATGCGAGTAACTTAATTCCTTTTCATCATTATTTATTTATTAATTTTTACAAGAATACAATATGTATACTAAAATATACAATTTTTACATCAATGCAGTTTAATTTGTTAATCGTCTAGATGAATCTTATGTATCTTATGTATCTAGTTACAAAGAAAAAGTTATTACTTCTGTTCAAGATATTTCTATTTACAACTTTAATCTACCTAGTTAACATCGCGTAGCTTTTATTAAGTGCAACAATCTGCTGTGCATATTGAAAATTATGAAATAAACAAAGACGTATATAAATTGCAAGAAAGATTTGATAAAGTGAAAGATTTGAAAAGAACTTCTCATCAAGAGGTAAAAGATAACACAACTATAATAATTATATTTGAATACATTTATAAATACTAAAATTATCAGAGTTTAAATGATTTACGCGATTTATATAACGATGCATTTTTTTATTTTATACTTAAAAATAAAATATATATATAATGTATGTAATTGTTACAGCGTATTTATAGAATAATAAAGTGCAATTTGTGGATTAATAAATAAACACATAAAAATAATAATATGTAATAATTGTTTCCACGTTAAATATTATATAAATAAATCATTTTACATAATTTACTTCTATTTCCGATAATTTAATGTGATTAATGTGAACTTTATTACACAAAGGGAACATAAATATTATTTTATTTTTTGTTATTTCTGAATCACATGATCTTCTTGCAATAAATCTGTAGTACAGTTTGTTTTTTTATGATTGCAACAATTATGGTTATCAATAACAGCAAGGTTAAAGATATTTTACGTTACAAAAAACTGAATTGTATTAAACGCATAAAACTTATCGATAGTTTGAAAATAATTTTCTATATATGCAGATATGCAGCTGGTATTACCACATATACAAAAATACCGATCATCAAGACTGTCGATCGGATCGATGACTGTTTGGTCGAAGTATTTAGTCTAGGTTTTATGGATGGTATTTTGCACACATGTGATTTAAATATATAACGATTAGATATAACCGCGAAATGAAAAAGAAATGAAAAACGTTAGCGCGTCAAAAATTATATTGTAAAGGCATTATTATCAGACAAAAAATATTATATATGTCGAGAATTTTTCTTAATTGGACATATATGGCAGTAAAGAAGCAAAATTTATTAAAGACAGATAAAATCAACAAGAAATAACGAATCAGTGAGTGTCCCATCGGAATTATAAATTATCTTTAAAAATAATGCGCGATAAATGTGTAAAACGTTTTTATGTATGTGCATATTTCGCGATTTTACTGTGCGATACCATTAGATATTACTAAAAATAAATAGTACGGCGAAAAAGAAAATAGGTATGCAAATCAATAGATAGATAAACGGGTGACTATTGATGACGATCGCGAATGCCGCACTATAAACATATGTAGCAGTTATAAAGGTGAAAAGCAAAACAAAGTATACATTTAAATTTTGAAAATCACTATAAAATGGCAACAAGGAAAATAAAGCGCGATAAGTACTACTGAGATCTATAGTATATACGAGTTGTTACAAATCATTTTTTTCGCGATAACTTGTCGCGATAGCTAACAATCCAATCTTTTTACGTTATCCTACGTAGTTTCATTTTAGTATTCTATACGTAGTATTCCGTATGAAATATTTATTGTCAAATATT